AGTGCGGTTGGCGCAGGATAGAGCAGGGTTTAGGGCTGTTGTGCATAGGGTCGCTATGAGTCGGAAACGACTCGACGGCACATAACAACAACAACAGCAGAAGATCCAAGACTACAGCCTTCAGTGTGGATTACACCCCAACTTCAAGAAGACAATAATCCTCATCACTGGGCCAAACAGATGGAGAGAAGACTGATGTTGTCAGTGGTTTCATCTTGCTTAGATCCAGAATAAACACCCTTGGTACCAGCAGTCAAGAAATCAAAACATGTACATTAGGTAAATCTACCAATAAGGACTCTTTGAGAAGCTGGACTCTGAAGAACAATGTGGCATCAGGATCAAAGAAGACTCATCAAAAACCTATGTCATGCAGATGGTACAACCTGGCTTGCTGAAAGTGAGGACCTGAACCCTTGTGACAGAACATCAAAGACTATAACATGGATAATATCTCAACATCAAGATAACAAACAAAAATTCTCAACAGGACCAGTAGGCAACATCATGATAGATAAAAAGAATTGCAATCGTCAACAACTTCATCTTACTTGGATCCACAATCAACCTCCCTGGTACCAGCAGTCAGGAGATCAGGAAACATACTGCACTGGGAAAGTCTGTAGTCAGGGACCTCTCCAAATTAAGAAGTAATGGTATCTGTTTGAGAACTAAGGTGAACCTGATTCAGACTCTGGTCTTTTCAATCACTTGAATAATGAATAAGGAAGAAAGAAAAAAATTACATCTTTAAACTACGATGTTGGAGAAGAGTTCTGAATATCTCATGGACTGCCAAAAGAACAATCAGATTTGTCTTAGACAAAGTGCATCCAGAGTGCTCCTTAGAGGCAAAGATGATAAAGCTTCATCTCACATACTTTGGGCATTTTGCTAGAAGAGGCTATTTCTTAGAGGGACATGTTTTTGGAAAGATAGAGGGTCAGTGAAAGGTAGATATTCAACCAGATGAACTCACACTGATAGCAGGAATGGGCTGAAGTTATGTCAGGGATAACGACAACAGAACAGGATACGACAGTGTTCATATCTATTGTTCACAAGGTCACTAATATCTCTTTGTGAAGAGCAAACAGGGTGCTCCTTGGAAGCATGGATGGTGAAGCTTCATCTCACATATATTTTGGGCACCTTGTTAGTAAGGGCTGATCCTTGAAAAGGGCATCATGCTTGAAAAAGTGAAGGAGGGTCAGGAAAAAAAAAGGAAGACCCTCAATGAGATGGATTTACAGTGACTGGGACAACGGGCTCAAATATATCAAAGATGATAAGGATGGCACAGGACAGGGCAGTTTCAGACAGACTGTTCATTTCATTGCTGTGATTCACAGTTGACTAGATGGCATCTAACAACACAAAGTCATTGTCTGTTTTTCACAGACCCATCTCTTCTGCTAAGGCAGTTCATTCACCTGTCTACTACTAAATATTATGTAAGCATATTTGAGAATTAGTATCCATGCATTTTCCTTAAAGGATTAATGTTCATTAATTAAAGACAATATTTGACAGTCATTTACCTGTCAGGCACTCTTGGAGCAAAACAGGATGTCGTGGAATGCACGCACAGAATTTGATCAGCCCCCAATTCCTGGACTTTCGCCTCCACTGCTTGCAGGTCTGTACGCAACTCGTCACCTTCTAAAACGTTCTCTATCACCACGGGCTCAAACCCTAACCAAGCAAAGCAAACCAAAACGTTAATGCAAACGGAAACCCGGTAGATCCTGGAGCTCTAGGAAGCAAGTCTACTTGACACACGACACTAAATATCAATTATGGTCAATGAACCCTCTTCCAGTCATAAGGCCCAGGCTCTGTATTATTCTTCCTAAATGCCATCAAGTTAGAGACAACCCATCGATGACCAGAGGGGTTTCAGAAGCAGTCAAGTGCATGGAAGGAGAAGGCCCAACTTTCTCTCACGGTGCGACTGGTGGACTCAAGCCATGTGCCTTTGGGTTGGTAGTGCAATTCCTTACCATTAAGCTACCTCAGCTCCCACAAAGAACAGTTAAAGGCCAATAAAAGTGATGGAGATGATGAGACTACAATTAGAACCACAAATCAATGCTTGATATATGAAAAATCCTGGAAAATAAATGTCACATCTCTATAGTTAATAACCTACAGTGATAACAAAAAGGTCAAGAGGCCAATCAATTTCAGTCCACAGAAAATAAAATCGGCTTCGCTTTTTTGGCTACATTTTAGTTTTATTCTAAAGGTTATTTTATTTTTGAGATGGGCATAAATAGTTTCATTCAAATAAACCCTAGACTTCACCTTCAAGTTTTGCCTCTAAGAGAAATGTACAGAACGTCAGTAGCCTGAGAATCATAGTTTTTTGAGTGGTTCTACAATTTAAACACAAAGACAGTTTCCAAATTTTCAACTGACACAGTTGACTTAACTAATACATATTCAAAAGTGCTTCCCAAGTAATAATTGTTTGTCCCCTCTATAGCCAGCTATAAGCAAAATTTATAAACATCAATACACAAATCATTTACAATGTAGATAACCACTTAAATACTTGGAAGTAAAAGCTTAGCATTTAAATCTTGGGTACTAGAAAAAATAAGCCTAGGACATACTGCACATAAAGTTTTCTTTTTATCCCACTTTTTGGTGAAAAGATAGACCATTTGCACAATTTCTATATGGATAAGGCAGTAAGGCAATCAAAAGATGAATTGCATCAGGGAAATCTACTGTCAGGGACCTCTCCAGAGTACTGAAGAGGAACAATGTCAGTGTGGAAACTAAAGTGTGCTTGATTCAGCCCATGGTCTTCACAATTACTTGCTATGCATCAGAGAGCTAGACTATGAGTTGTGCAGGAAGAGAGTACTGAACATACCATGGACAGCCAAGAAAATAAACAGGTCTGTCTTGGAGAAGGTGAAGCCAAGCTGCTCCTGGCCAAGAGTCTAGGATTTTGAAGCTCCATGTCACATACTTTGTTTTGGGCAGGTAGCCAGCAGGGACAAGTCATTGGAGAAGGACATCATGTTTGTAAGGGTGGAGGGACAGTGTAGGAGAGGAAGACGCTGGATGAGATGGATTGATAGAGTAACTGGAGTATTGGGAGTAGGTGTGTCGCAGACAATGAGATTGGCTCAGGATAGGGCAGAGTTCAGAGCTACTGTGCACAGGGTCACTGAATCACAGGCAACTCAATAGCACATAACAACATAAGGCAGTGATATTGATCATATTCTTCAAATTATAGGAATAACAAGGAAAACAAGTAAATCCTTTTTCAAATTAATCCTTAACCATTAACTTACTGCCGCTAAGTTTCTCATCAAAGTTGTCAATATATTCACAAGACCAGAAGAAATGCATGTCACCTAGCTGTTGCTGTTACGTGTCACTGAGTCAGAACCAACTCTTAACTGACCCTTCACTGGGCTTGCAGAAGCTGTGAATTACAGGGGAGAAAGCTGCCCAGCTTCTTCCCTAGGAGCAGCTGATGGATTCAAACTGCTGGCCTTTGGGTTAGCAGCACAACTCCTTACCTCTAGGCCAGCAGAAGAATCCTGATCAAAAGGAAATAAATTGTTAAACATAATTTCAAATTCTCAATGGGATCCTGAATTTCTAAAACCAATGAGGCTGAATAAACTATGAACCTATTGCCTTGAGATAATCTTTCATTTTAAACCAAAACTATGCCCTGACATCATCTTTATACAAAATTTTTGAGTAATTTCATCATTAGCCTTACCAAATACCAAAGCAACAGACTAGATGCATGGAATTAAGAACTATAAGGGACAGAGAAACCATTAAGCTCAACTCATTTAGACATAAACATTTACCAGAAGTCATACAGCAATTTAAAACAAATAAAGGGCAAGTAATATTCTTTTTTGTTCTAGGATTCATATCAAAGTATTTCAATCTAAAAATATAAATCTAAAACTTTATATTATATATATTTATATATAAAATATAAACACTTCAGCCACTATAAAAAGCACAACTGCTGAGTGTATTAATTCAGATACCCAGGTCTCACCTCTATACCTTCACACCTATTTAAACAGGCAAGCGAAACAATTTCAATTCCTAAGGACTAATTTCCCATTCTTTCTCAAGTTCTTTAGGCCTAACTCTATTTTGCACTCAATTAAAATGCAAGTCTTTTTCTGAATCACAATTATTCTGTTTCCAATGAATGCAAACTATCCTATTAAAAAAAAAGTCTAAATCTTAACATCTTATGAAAACAGTTTTCCATTTTTAAAGTCACTCTGTTTTCTTTATGTTTGGTTATCAGATCTTTGGTTAACAAGTTGTGAACTTAAAGACTTCATGACTTTACACACTTGAGATAAATCAATATCTTTTTTTGAAAGTCTATCAGTTTCTGGTTGTTGTCAGTACATGCCATTGATCACCTGCGACTCACATTGACCCTATGCTCAAAAGCTCTGAACTCTGTCCTGTCCTGAGCCAATCTCACTAACTCTAACACACCTACTCCCATTACCATAGTCACTATGTCAATCCTTCTCATCCAGCTCTTCCTCTCCTGTGCTGTCCTTCCACCCTTCTAAGCATGATGTCCTTCTCCAAGGACTGGTCCCTCCTGGACATGTGCTCAAAGTATGTGAGGTGGAGCTTCAGAATCCTTGACTCCAGAGAACAAAGTTGCTTCACTCTCTCCAGAGCAGACCTGTTTGTTCTCTTGGCAGTCCATGGTACATTCAATATTCTTTTCCAGAACCACAACTGAAAGGCATTAATTCTTCTTCTGTCATCTTTAGTCACTGTGCAGCTCTATGAGGCACAGTAAGTACCTGCAAAGATCAAGGCCTGGATCAGGTGCACCTTAGTCTCTAGACTAACATCTTTGCACTTCAGCACTCTGGAGGGTTCCCTGAGAGCAGACTTTCCCAATCCAATTTGTCTTTGGATTTCCTAGCTGCTGGTTCTTAGAGTGCTAATTGCAGACCCAAGCAAGTTGAAACTGTGAACAATCTCCATCTCTTCTCCATCTAATAATGATATTGCCAACTGGCCTAGTGGTGGGAATCTTTGTTTTCTCGATGTTGAGTTTCAATCTATATTGCAGACCACAGTTCTTAACTTTCTGCAGAAGAAACTTCAGGTCTTCTTCCATTTCAGTGAGCAAGGCTGTGTCATCTGCATAATGCAAGGTGTTGATGAGTGTTCCTCCAATTCTGATGTCACATTCCTCCTCATAAAGCCCAGCCTTTCAAATGATCTGTTACGCATGTAGATTAAAAAGGTATGGAAACAGGATGCATCCTTGATGTGCTCTTTTCTTGCTTTTGAACCTCAAAGTGTTTCCTTGCTCTGTTTTAACCAATGTCTCCTAATCCAAATATAAGTTTCACAGGAGTACGATCAGGTGTTCTGGGATTCCCATTCTTCTCAAGGTTAGGACAATTTGTTCTGATCCACACAATCAAATGCCTTTGCATAGTCAATGAAACACAGACATTCCTCTGGTAATCTCTGCTTTCTGCCAAGATCCATCTGACATTGAAAATGATGTCCCTAGTACCACAGCCTCTTCTAATCCCAGCTTGTACATCTGGTAGTTCTCTGCTGATGTAATATTCAGTCGTTTTTGCATAAGCTTTAGCAAAATTTTCCTTGCGTGATATTACTGATATTGTTAGAAAATTTCCACACTGTTGGATCACCCTTTTTTGGAATGGGAATAAATATGGATCTCTTCCAGTCAGCTGGCAAGGTGGCTGTCCTCCAGATTTCTTGGCACAACCTGGTGAACGTCAAGGCTACTCCATCAGTTCCTGGGGCCTCATTTTTTGCCAATTTCTTCAGAGCAGCTTGAACTTCCTCCTTCGTCACCACTGCCTCTTGGTCATATACTGTTTCATAAAATTGATCTGTGTCATCCAGTTCTTTCTGGTACAGTGACTCTGTGTATTCTTTCCATCTTCTTTTGATGCACCCTGGATCATTCAATATTCTGCCCATCACATTCTTAAGTATTGCAACATGAGGCTTGAATTTGTTCTTCAGTTCCTTCAACTTAAGAAATGCCAAGTGAGTTGGTCCCTTTTGATTCTCTAACTCCAGTCTTCACACATTTCATTATAGTATTTTGCTTTGTCTTAACAAGCCGCCCTTTGAATTCTTCTGCTTAGCTCCTTAACTTTATTTCTCCCCTTTGCTTTGGCTTCTTGGTGCACCAGTGCAATATTCAGAGTTTCTTCTGGTATCCATCTCGTTCTTTTCTTCCTCCTTTGTCTTTGTAATAAATTCCTTTGGGACCTCTGGTAGTCCAGTGGGCAAGGAGTCAAGGCAGGAGTTGAAATTCACCAGCTGTTCCATGGAAGACAAATGGGCAATCTCCTTCTGTGCAACTTAAAGCCTCAAAAAACCGGCTGGAGGGTTAGTTACAAATCAATTCCAACCCGATAGCAATGAGTTAAGTTTAGATGATATTTTTTTAGAATTTTACAGCCAATACTATTCATTTCACACAACAAACTGAAGTCATTCAAAAAGGACCTACAATACAGCGATTTTAAGTTTCTGTCTTGTTTATACTTGAGATGCCTAGATTCACAGTAACTTTTTATAATGTGTGCTCCACTTCTGTATAGTCAGTAAACACTCCTGAAGGACCTTTAATGTCCTAGGGAATTGCGGTTGGGCAACCCATTTAATCCTTAAAACAATATTGTGAAGCAAACAATATCCCTCATTTTAAAGAGAACACAGCTAGTATCTCACTCCTTTATCTATGATTATATACAGGAGCTGTGGAGGAGCCGTCCGTAGCATGTACTGCTAACCAAACAGTGGTGGGTGGACCCCATCCACTGCTCCCCTGGACAAAGGTGGGCAGTTTCCTTCCTCTCAGATCCACAGCTTCAGAAGCCTGATTGGGGGGGGGGGTGTCACTGTGAGGAGGACTTAACTCAAGGGCAGTGAAAGAGAGGGAGATTTCTATAACAACTCTGCAGTGCCGGTCATTATTTAAAACACACTCGACCACCTATCTCCTCTTTTACCTGCAGTGATCATGGATTTAAAGCAGGACTTCTGGTCTATTCGTGGCCATAGGATATATTTTGCCTTTGGTCTCTTGTGCCGTAGGGTTAAGAAGCACAGTGTCAGACTCATACCAGTTGCCATTGGAACGACAAAGCAGTTGGCCACTGTATTGACACCTATGAACAAGAAACAAACACTCATTATTCCACAGGAAAGCAAGCGTCCTCCTTAAGAAAATGATCTCATTTTTCCATCTAGTTCTAAGAATCGTAGCCCTGTTTCCTCTCAGGAGGCTCCTTGACAATGATGATTAAACTCTATTCCTCTCTAAAAATCACTTCATAGGGAGTCTTTTCAAAAACTACTCTTAACTTTTTGGAAAACAGATTATTAACCAAAGTAATTAGGCAACAGTGTGTACAGCTAATCAGCCGAGAGTATTATGACTAATACGGTACATACCAGCCAACTTTATGATGTCCAGGACTAAAGAATTCGTAATTTTGTTCAAAAGGCTAGAACCTGCAGCTTTTGGTTGTACAGCAGCAATATCACCTGATCGACCAATTCCATGAATGAACCTAAGCAAGAAATGAGCCAATAACTGGACAAATAAAGTCATCGTTCTGAGTAAACCCCTCCAAGCACACAAAACTGCGAGAAAAACACCAGATGCTGAATTTGCCTGTTATAGTTTATAAGATATTGATAACAGTCCTTGTTCTGGAGGCCTAACGGTAAGAAGCTATTATTGCAAACCCAAAAGCACATGGTTCAAATCCACCAGCTGCTTTGTGGAAGAAAGATGGGCACTCTCCTCCCATGTATTTTACTGCCTCTGGAAATCCCAGTGAGGGGTCAGTTCCAACTCAACAGTACCTAACAACAGTGCCACAACAGTTAAAAGCTGAGCTGCTAACCTAAAAGTCAGCACTTCAAACCCATCAGGTTTGAACCTGATAATCTGCTGCTGTCAAGATTACAGTCTGGGATCCCTTTGCGGTATTTCTCCTCTACCCTGTTGGGTTGTTATGAGTAGTACCCAAGAGTACAGTGCATTGCTGCTAGGTGCACGACTTGATCACAGTTCATCACGACCCTATATGGAGAACAGATGTGAACCCTGCCCTGTCCTGGGTCATCATGATAACCTCCACCAGACTCAGTCCCACTGCTGCAGTCACTGTGTTGGTCCATCTCATTGAGGGTCTTCCTCTTGCGCTGACCCTCCACCTTTCCAAGCATGACATCCATCTCCAAGGAGCAGTCTCTCCTAGTAACCTGCCCGAGAACGTGAAACAAAGCTTTGTCATCTCTGCCTCCAAGGAGATGCGCTTTCTGCAAGATGGACTGTTGGTTCTTTTGTCAGCCAAATGAATAACTGCATACTCAGATCCCAGAACACCAGTTACTGTACCTCATTACCTCCAAAAATTTCCTATGCCCAACATAATTTTTTACATATATTATCAGCCATGTTGTAAGACCATTCTTGACCATGAAATTTTCATCCAAGTTATACATTATATCTGGTGTGACTGCAACAGCTTTGATAGAAATAAAAATTGATCTTCACTTAAAATAACGGAAGACAAAGGTTTTAAAAGAATTTAACTATATTTCATGGAGAGGTTGGAAGGCCAGAAATAAAACACCACATTAAGAATCGCTAACCCTTAAATGATTGTTAGAATTGATTAGCAGATTTCTGAAATAAAAAAAATAAATAAATAGCAATGTAGCAACAAAAATTAAACTTAATAGAGCTCTCCCTACATCTAATGTAACAAAGCAGGTAGTTTATGAGCTTCTGTTTCGATGTAATTGTTTGAAAGTTCTAATTTACATTTTAAAGTTCTAATGATAGCTCAATTATCCAAAAACTTGGGAGTGTTAAAAACAAAAAAACTAAGTCAGGAAAGGTGTGTGTTAGAGCTGTATCTTTTCTCCATATCTATTCAAACTGTATGCTGAAAAGTATCATTGGAAAACCTAGACTAGAAAAAGAATAAGAATGTGGAATCAGGATTGGAGGAAGACTCATTACAACCTGTGTTACATAAATGACACAATCTTGTTTGCAGAAACAGAAGAGGAAGCACTTGCTACCAAAACAAAAAAAAAATAATAAATCAAAGACTAGAGTATGCATCAAAAAAAAAAAAACAACTGGAAATTAGAAACAATCTTAATGTCACTGAGTGCATAAAATATTTTAAACACTTAAAATCAAACCTCTCCCCCTCCTGCATTGCCACCGAGTCAGGTCTAACTCATAGCTGACCCATAATCACATATCTAAAGGTAAAACTGCATGGTAAGGACTGCCCATCTCTCGTCTTAGGGGCAGCTGGTGGATTTGAACTGTTAGAAAAGTTAGGCCTGTGAGTCAGCAGCTAAACTCTCTACGTACTACACCACCAGGAATTCCCTTCAACCAAATATGTTATCAATTTTTGCAAGGTGTATAACCAGCGCCGTTAACTACCTGATTCTAGAAACTAAGCAGGTAACCTGCATATGTTGTTTGTTAAGTGCCGTCGAGTTGTAGGCGACTCATAGCGACCCTATGAATGAAAGTTCTCAACACTTGCATGACTTTCATCCTTTCTCCAGGTTCATAGTTTCCAGAGGCAAGCCATTTCGGAAGTGGATGCCGCTCCTGCTCCTAAGCTTGTTTGAATTGGGGAGCTCCACCAAACACTGTCCGCCATGGGTAACCATTAACGCATTTTCCTGCTCCCAAGCTTGTTTGAATCGGGGACTTCCACCAAACACTGTCCACCATGGGTATCCACTAACGCATTTGACACATCAGTGTCACAGTGTTCAGCTTCACAGCAACCACAAGTTACCACTGTACTGTACAGCGAGTGGACACACCAGGGCTAAACAACCTAAAAGAATGTTTGACCAAAAACAATAAATAACAGGCCTGAGGGCCACGTATTAAAGTTACCCACCTTTGGCTTGGTAGTATCATTTTCTGTCCACTTTAACCAACTGATCTCTATGCCATTGTTGTTAAGTGCTGTCGAGTCATAGGCGACTCATAGCAGCCCTGTGAACTTTTAAAACCACCTACTCAGAAAGAAGCCCTCCTCCCCAAGAAGTTCAGCTCACAAGAGATCAGCAGTTAACTTTAACAGGTCTGCACCTTCAATACTGACTTATAGCTTTGGAAACCCTATGTAGCAGTTTGATCCGGTGGCCTAATGGTAAGGAACTGCATGACCACTCCAAAACCATGCAATTTGAATCCTCCAAGGAGATGGACAATCTTCTCCCTTGTGAGTTCCTGCCTCTGAAAACCTGCTGGAGGGTCAGCTATGGGTCTGTTCCAACTCAATAAAGCACAGCAAGAGCTGCGGGACTGACTACAAGTTGGAATGGATGTAATGGCAATGGGTTTGACCTGGAGAAAGCCAAATGTGAATAGAGAAGTGGGTAATGTCATCACTGCTTTTAACCAAAGAAAAAAGAAGCTATTCCATTATTATCCATTGCAAACAACAAACCTGTAATGGCGACGGGCAACTAACGTGGACACCACTCTCCCTTCCCTTTCTCCCACACCACAATTGCCCAGGAAATTGTTGCTGTCCATGACGGCAAGTTCATGCAGAAAGAGTTCAAGTGTACTCTCATCCCAACCATCCTCTGGACACTTGCCCTTCGGGAAAAGAAAAAGAAAGACTTGTAATTAGACTTAAGAAAAATCATTCTTCCTGTCAACCCTACATCTCAGTGAATTTTAAAACGTTCCCGTAAGTATTTCTGCAAGGTATTTTGCTTTTGTAAATGAACAATATAGAAAGATCTCAAATTTTTTTTAAAAAAAATTGTTCTATTTTATTACAATTAAATACAAGTTGATAAACTCATGTAAAAAAAGTTAACTCAAACGTGATGATTTCAGTAAATAAAAGCAGCTGAAAAGATTTACAGGTGCCTCATAGTCTTACGGAAGACTCTTCCAAGTCAGGGTATTAGGGCGTGTCAAAACAGGGCAAATAAAAACCAGGATTCTGGCAGGAGACTTGTAACATTCTGGCAGCACTTGGTTCAAATTACTAGGGGTTTTAAACCTAATGTGTTGAGTCTCTGGGAGTGCTGAAAGGTGGAGGGAGAGAACTTTGCCCTTTTTGCAAACAAAAAGAATGAAAACGCTGACACTTTTCCTCACTTCCGGTCCTGAAGTTAGGAAGAGTAAAGCTGGATCCTAAAAACCTCAACGTTAATTCCCTCTGGGATTCGATAGTCCACCCTCCTATCGCGGAATTTACTGCCTCTGAAGACCCGCCGGAGGGTCAGCTAGGAGTCAGTGCCGACTCGACAGCAATTAAAGGTGTTGTTGTTGATGTTTTGATTCGCTGTATTTGGCTAGACTATAAACTCAAACATTGCTGTGACTCAGAATTGACTCCTAACTGACCCTCCAGCGAGTTTTCCGACGCTGCAAATCACACGGAAGGAGACTGCTCATCGGCTCTAGCAGAGCAGCGGGTGGATTCGAACCTCCAGAGGGGCGCAGTGTTGGGGTTACAGCGCAACCCCCTCCGCACTAGGGTCAAGAAGCGCTCAAAGGGACGAGTCGGTGCAATCGGTGCCAAGCAGCAATGCGCTCAGCGGCAGGACTCAAGCAGCGAGGAGCAGACGCCGGGCAGGACCCGGCCCCGGAGCCCGCGGGTGCGGCGGACTGGGGGCGGACCGACCCCGCCGTACCTTCTCCAGGAGCTGCCGTATGAGGTGCTCGTGCGAGCGCCGGGCCTCACAGCCCTGCCGCACGTAAGCCGGCGACACCAGCCGCTCGCCCGCGGCGAAGCTCTCGCGGTTCATGACCGGGCGGCGGCGGGTCAGCAGGAGAACGGGGCTGCACAACCCAGGGACGCGGCACCAGAATGCAACTCGCCGCCTGGACGGTACGGCAGAGCGGAGGGACAAGAGACCCTGCCCCGCGCTCGCACCAGCGCGAGCCTAACGTCTGCGTCTGCGTGACAGCGTGACAGCGCCCCGGCAGGAGAAAAGGGCGGGACTGGCGAGTGGCCCCGCCCCCGCTGCATCTGATTGGTCTCCTTGAACCCCTGTCCTGAGAGCGACTTAGAGAAACATTTGAGTCAGGTGGGTTGACTTCTTTAAAGAAAAGAATGTCTCTGGTTCCGTTGTGTTTCATTCCTGTTGCAGGTTTGTCGAATTCCAGAATCTTTTATCCTTCCCTTCAACACTTTAAAGCCTTAGTATTCAAAAACAACGTCATGTAAAATAGCAATGGCCCCGCTGCTTTACACTACAGAGTTTTTATCCTTAATGCTTCTCCCCAGCTTTCCCCCTTAAGAATGAAATATCGGAGCTCTGGTGGCCTAGTCGTGAGATTGAAGCTGTGCTGCAATCTCAGAGGTACACGGTTCGAATCCACCTCCTGTGCCAGTCAGAGCTGATTTCACGGCGCACGTGCACACACACACACACACACACACACACACACGCACGCACACGCACACACGCACACAGACACACAGAGAGAGCTGTGACTTGTTTTGGAACTCTGGTGCCCTAGTGGCAAGACGCTGCACTGCAATCCAGAGGTCCGCGATTCGAATCCACCAGATGCTCTGCTGGAGAAGGAGGCACAATATCCTCCTGTACCGGTCAGATCCTATTTGACAGTACATACACACACACACGCAGAGAGAGAGAGAGAGTACAAAGATGCAGTATTACCAAGTTCATACACCAGTACTCAAAACATGACTTAAAAGCTAAGCCTTTTGCTGTTGAATAGACTCCAACTCAGAACATCCCTGGGTAGATTCAGAATGATAGCCTTCAGCTAGTAAGTAGCCAAACACTTAACTTTTGCACTACCCAGGGGCTCCATAGAAATAATAAAGACTCAAAATTAGGGAACTAGAAAACAAAGAGGGGTGGGTTGTTCTTCTTCTTGTTGTTGTTGTTATTTTAAGCGGTTTTGTTGGAAAGACTGAGATAGGAAGATGGGGGTATTCCTCCTACTGGTCAGGGAAACTCCAAGCAGAGAGTGTGGAAAGAGGTAGACACAGTTTTCAGTTTCAGAAATCGGGAAAGGGAGTGAGATTTTAAAGTTGCGGTTCTGCCCTCAAGTTAGTTTTGGAGATGGATTGTTGTTGTTGTTGTTATGTGTCGTCGAGTCGTTTGCGACTCATAGCGACCCTATGTACATCAGCACTAAATCCTGCTCTATCCTCATAACAAACTGTGGCTGACTCTGAGAAGAATGGGAATCCCAGAACA